AGACAGACCAAAAGGTCCTTTCTCCAGATATATCCTTTCTGTTTCAAACAAAAAGTGGTACTTCAGTTCACGTACCATGCTAGTGAATTTCATTTACTATCAACAGTCTTACACGTCAAGAAAAAACCCAGCATCGGCAAGGCATTTAACTGAAACCTCCTGAGGAAATTTTGCACTAAAATCATCGCAGTGTAGCATCGTGGCTAGAGCACCAGCAGAGCAACCTGTAAGAAGAACCTGAAATGTGTAGAAAGATAAGTAATTTTTTCATTTTCATATTTTTCTTGTTCACATCTAATGTTTCGTCTAAAAACTGTATGAACTAAGTAAATTAGGTATGACCTTTGTAGCATTGGCAAGTCCCTTTTCCATGACTTCAGCAATAACTGCCTCATAGATGCGCAATCCTCTGAAGTAAAGTGTACTTCCATCCTACATCATCACCAACATAACATCACTTCAAGCAACCAAAATAGCGACATCGTACCAGGATTCAGAATAATCACCGGCGCTTGACCTTCCGCATCCCCAGAAAATGATCCCCCGTCGCAGTAGCGCACATACACTCTGTTCCAGTTGTAGAAATCTAATCGAGCACTAATATACATTAGTGCAAGGACATATCAAAGAGGTAAAAATGAGACGAAAGCCTCACTTCATCCAACCAAACAGGAAGAGAGGCAATGTAAAATTATGGGCCAGATGATGGAAGGGTGTGGTTTGTGGAGAGAAGCGTTGATGATTACCAGGATTCAGTGGCTGATCGCTGCTAAGGATCCCGGCATACAATATCGGTTTCATGAAGTTGGATGAACCGAGCTCGGAATTTCTTCGGCTGGAACAATCCTTGACGGTGCTGCACCAGCCTCCTCCCTGGGTGTTTTTCAGTGGAAAAATATATAGTTCAATCAACTAATTGACCTGCCTTGAATCTACTTTGTACGTGAACAAAGGGAGTGAATATCAACATCATGGTACAAAGGTATAAACAAAACATATGGTTAGGCTTAGTTATTAATATTGTAAGATCACGTCATCATCAGTATGACATTTTTTGTTTTGCTGGTGGCTAAGGAAAGCATAGCAACATATATAGAGTAGGAAAATGGGTGGGTGATAGTGATACTACCAACCTCTAGATGTATGAGCCAGTTGTTTGCGCCGGTGCCGGAGCCTCTCTGCAGGTGGTAGCCCGGCGGGGTCCCGTCCAAGCACACTGAACTCAAGTTAATCTGAGATGAATGGACGGTAGAATCTAATATAGTGCGGCGTACCTGCTCCCTTCTCCTGCGCACCGGAAAGGAGGGTCAGCGGGACTGTCTCCGGCGGCGTCGCGCAGAACATCATAGGAGGGAGAAGGCCGGCGGCGGAAGGCAGCAGCAGGAGCAGGACTGCCGCCGAGAGGCCCCATGCATGGCGGCAATCCCGCGCACGCCGGCGCTGCGCCGTGTGGAGGAGGAGCTGCTCGGCCTGGGCTGTCCCTGGTGCCATTGCAGTCAAGGGACAAGAGAATAAGGAGAAGAATGGTTGGATCACTGCTGCTGCGGCTTCTTCTCATGAAATATTGTTGCCCCATTCGTCGTTTTCCCCGTCCTCCTTTGTAAGTTGGCCCGCTGTTAAACAAATGCGCCAAATTTTCTTACATCCAAGATTAGATCAGACAGATAGCAACATCTACGCCATCCTCATTTACAGAAAATACCTATAATTGCATTTTGTTCTTTCTTCTCCGTTTTCCATTCTCAAGTTACCGAGTACCGGCCGGTTTGCTGAGTGCATAATGTCTGACACACGGTAAATGATAAGGAAATCGAGTGCGAAAAAGAAAACGCTCAGCAAAAGCCTGACACTCTCGGTGAAGACGTGCTTCGCAGAGTGTTGCCTGCATAGCAGCAAAGACGTGCTTTGCCGCGTGTTCAGCTTTGCCGAGTTGGCATTCGCGCCGAACATTTTTTTTTCCTTTTTCTTCTTCTTTCTTTTCTTTTGTTGATTGTTTGTTTTATTTTTTTCCTTTTATGCTATGTTCTTTTTTACATTAGTTTTTTTTTTTGCTTTCTTTCCCTCTCTCTAGGCATTTAATGAACTTTTAAGCATTTAGTGAATATAATTTACTATCAAGTGCATTAAAAAATGGTAAAATTAGGTTGAACATCATATTTGTACTTTTAATCTAGGGTCTGGCTAGGACTCAGTCGGCTGACGTCATTCTACACGTCATGCACAATCTGCATTGTCCTGTTTTCGTGGCACGATCTACTCTGTTTGGGCTTTTCTTGGGCCTTTTTCTGTTCTATTTTTCTCTGGTGTTGCCCTCGTTATTTTGGGCTGTCCACGTTTCTATTTGGGGGTAGTGTTTGGCTGTTGTATTTTCTTATTTTGTCTAGTGCCTTTTGATTTGAAAATGGATGAAAAAAAAAGCCTAACTATGAGACATCACACCACACATGTGAAAATGTGTTGCTTGGAAAACATGCAATTGCACTTGGAGGCGACACTTGCAGTTGCGTGCCTAGTGGCAAACACGCAACTGCCCCTCTCCCTC